TTTCCTAATTTTTCATCAAAAATATCATTTCCAGAAGGTATTGCTGATGAAATTGTACACAATCATTTCGCTTCAATTTGCAATAATTTATTGCGGTTTTCCACTTTCGAAAGATACCGCAGGTTCTTGAAAAACATTATTGATAATGATAATTAATTATTTCTTACATTTTAGCAGCATGCAAACTTTGTTGCAATAACATGCATTTTATTGCAGAATTTGCAGAAAGCACTTATGAAACAATTTTGGAAACAGTTTTCACCAATTCATCTGATCTGTTCTCGAATGAATCGTTTCCAAAATTCTCAATTGACAAGGATATGCGAAAGTAATAGCTTCTCGTTTACATTTATCAAATTACATTCATTTCATGACGTAATTAAATCAACTTTGAATATTAATAGAAATAAACAAATTTGAAAATATTATTACTTTCTTTTTTTTTACCTTTAAAATAAAATTACAGGAGCATCTCAGAACAGTGTGCCAGAGAGGAGAAAATCCACAATCTTTACAAACTTGTACAGAATCGAATTGGTGATATATTACCAAAACGATGGTTGTCGCAACATTTACAATCATGTCATCCTCCCAGTCGGGTATTGAATCCGGTTTTTGCTTGTTTTTCTTTCTTTCTTCTTGTTCTCATATTTATCTTTCTTTCCATATACACATAGAATAAAGTAAATGATATGTTTTTAATCAGAAAATATATAGAAATAACAAAACTGATAACAGTTTCTATTGATAAATGTGCTACACTGCCAGGAAGAAAAAATTACTGAAGAAATTTGCTATTTTGAATGTTTTAGTTGTGGAAATCTTAAAGTTAATTTTAATTTATCAACTGTTACTCAAACACATATCTGTAAAGTTTTTTAATTTCGAGATTTTTCAGGATCCGGGACCAAAGCGAATAGTAAATCAAGCATTGTGTCAGACTGAGCGTACTGTTGTTCATCTCAATGACGAAAATTTCGAATTCTTTCCTCCTTTTTACAGCGAAATACGTTGCAAAGTCCCTAAACGTGATGGAGATAGTGGAAACAAAAAGGAACATGTAAAAAATTTTAAGAAAAAAATTATTTTTTAAAAATTATTAACTTTCATAAATAATCAATCCCATAAGATCAAACAAATATGAGATTGAAATGAAATAGTTTGCAATTAAACATTTTGAAATATATTTTGTGCACTTGAAGAAATGAAATGCATGAAATACCACAATTCGTAATTCAATTATTTGAATTATAGAATGAATAGAGATTAGACAATTGTTTCTATATTGAGTTTTTTTTTTTTCTTTTTCAAATCATCGTTGGAAGTAGTTTTAAGAAATTCATTGAAAGTTAGCAATTTTGACATCGATCTCCAGTGTGATGAAACTTAGAGTTGCAATTGTTGGCTAAATATAAATTTTAGCAAAAGTATAAATTTATTCAGAATTAGTAAATCAAAAAATTCTGGAACACTTAACGAAAATATTTTCAATTAAAGTTTGCATCAAATGAAAATTGATTTTCCGACTCCACTTCCAGTTTTTTGAAATGCAAAATCATTGACTAAAATCTTTTGTTCACTTAAAAATCAAAAAAAAAAAAATGTCCAACTGATATTTGAAGTTATTTGAACAAAAATTTCACATATGATGAAAAAATAGAAATGCAGAAATTACAAATTTCATAAAATTATAAACTATAATTAAAAAATTCTAACATGTTGAATAAAAAAATTTTATAGAAATGATCGCACAGAATTAGTGGATTGACTTCAAAATTCAAAATTCATTTCAGAGTTACATCTAAATTATCTGCTGCTGATAACTTAAACAGAAATCATTAACTGATATAACTCAGATATTCAATCTGTTCAAACATTTTTTCGTTTATTATTTTTAATTCATAAATCACTGAATTTGCAGACGTGTTTACGTGGTACGTTACGCTGTGTGCAACGCTACGAGGATCGGATTTTTGCACGTCGACAACGAGGCGATATTGAGTATAATCAGCACAAAATTTCGAAGATACCGAGCGCATGTGATTGTATGTGGCCAGTGGATATATATGGAAAGATTAAACATGAAAATTTTAAAATTTAATGTATTATTATTATTATTATTATTTTCCATTAACTATAAAAATATTAGCAAAAAACTATTAAATAATCAGTATTTTAAATTCTAAAAATTTGCTTAAATTCAAAACAAAAACTAATTAAATAATTGGTAAACTCAAAATATTGGATTCCCTAATTTAAAAAAAAAAAAATTTGTTTTGGCTCATTCGCAGCACAATTCATTCGGTTGAATTTTTTTCACTTGAAGAATTCGTATTATATATTCTGATATTAATCGAAATGTTAAAGCGTGGATTTTAACTAAATATTGGATGATTTTTAGCAGAATTTGAAGGTTTTTTGTTAGTTTATAACCAATAATTTTGTAAAGTGTTTTTACCGGAATTTGAATTCAATAAATGTTAAAGATGTTCAATTTCTTATTTTTCACTTATATTTTGTCGAAATGGTTTTTTGTTGCTTTTTTTTTCAAAAAAAAAAACCGTTAATTTTTTATTGAAATAGATGGTGTAAATTAATCACTGAAAAGAATTTTTCCGCCTTTTTATTCAGTGAACAAGTGATTGATGTTCTTATTGATTTCTTACTGAATTATTCGATCTAATCAACTGGTCAACAATTTCAATTATTTTTAGTATTGCGCTTAAAATTGTTCAACTTACCAATTTAATTTCAGCATCAGCAATCTCTAATCATTTTGTGTTGATAAAAGCAAATAAATTAGATTGTAGCCTTTTTTTTTTCAAGAAAACAAACATTATGGTTTCTTGGCTAAATTTATGAAGCCTATAAATTTCCGAGCATTTTAGCATATAAAACCTTACTGTCTCCAAATATCTTGAAATTATGCTTTTAGCAAAGGTTAATTTCAAGAACAAAAGCAAATGAAAGATTCAGCGGTTTCTCATTAGCGCTAAGGTAGTTTTTATCATTTTTTGTAAATTTCTGAAATATTCTCCAAAATGATTTAATGAAAAAAAAAAGCTTCAGGAATGAAAAACGTATTAGAAATTTAGACATCAGTAAATTTTGCTGTAATGATATCCGATTTTGGATGATACATCGCATTGTACTGATGTTGTTGTTCCCAATTCCGATTTTCTCAATCAACAAGTTAGAAGTCAGAATATCAGCATCAAAATCAGATATCATAATAATCATTGGTATTAATGCGATGATAGTTCCCGTTTCAGGTTAATTAATTAAAATCGGTTTCATTTTTTTTTTTTTTTTGTAAAAATAAATTCAGAAAGCATTGAAGTTGCACGCAATCATTTCGCTTCCGTTTGCAGTAATTCATTGCACTTTGTACTTCGATGAAAAAATATCATTGATAAATAATTGTTGCTTAAGATAAGAGCAAATGCATTTTTCCCATATTTCAGCATCAATCAAATTTTTTGCAAGACTTGCAAAAAAATCAAGCCAAAAAAAAAATCTTCACAATGATATCTAATTCGATTGAATTTGGTAACTTCCTAGATTGGGTCAGAATGGTCATAAAAACATATATTTTATAAAGATGTTTTTTTTTCTTTTTTTTTTGCTAACACAAGAAAGAATATTCATTTCGAATTTCTAAAATTCCAGTATTTCAAATCTTCCACTCTACAAGCATTTCCGTGAAAAATCTGAGGTCAGAAATTTGAGTTAAAAGTTGGAAAAGGAGATAAATTGCACAATGAAAGTGTTAATCAAGCAAAATAACCGAATGAGCTTTGTACTTTTTTGCCATAGCCAAAATTAATTACTGAATTTCCAAAATTAATTACTTTCAAAATTGCTTCATTTAATGAGTTTCAATCAGTCATTCTCAGTCATTCTAACGAAATACGAGATTAATGAAACTGAAAAACTACCAAGAGATAAAAGATTACAGTGTCAGGAAAACATGAATTGTGATTTCGAGAAATTTCGAGATATTAAATTATTTCATACAAATCTTCGAAAACATAACTAGTAATGTTAAGTGTTATTGAATGTATTAATTGCTGATGTTGCTATGATTGACATTTGCATTGTTTGCGCGTTCAAAACAGTTCAAATATCATTTTTCCAATAGCTTGCAATCAATGATTTGCATGTTGCATTTGCGGTTTTTACTGTTTACGTGTCATTTTTCATTTCCATGTGAATTTGTTTTCGCAAGATTGATTATTAATCACAATTGGCAGTAAAAATTAACAGATAATTATCGATTAGACAAAAGCATAGTCCGATTTATCGATGGAAACATAAAATTGTTCGTGAGATTAGCGCCCATTTATCTTGTTTTACTTCCGAATATTTTAATGGAAATGGATTGGTATAAAAAAGAAACCGAAAAATTATTTCTCAGTGTATTTCATTTCATCAAAGTTCGTTAGTTGAATTCAAAAACACCTTTACATTTGTTAAATTGTTAAATAAAAATGATAAGTGATTTTTCTCTCCTGAAAGAAAAGTTTGTTTATTGATAAGATTTGATGTTCGGAATATTTTTTGACAAATCTCTTCCTTAATTAAAATAATTAATTCAGTCAAATAATCAAAGAAATGAGGCCCGAATTGATTTTATGGAAATCTTATTTATAGCTCTTGCAATTCATTTTTTCCTTTCTTTACTTTTTCAGTGAATTTTCAATTTTGAATTAAAACTTAACTTATAATCATAAATCATTATTAATGTTTTCATCAGCACTTATTTCGTTTTCCTAATTTTTCATCAAAAATATCATTTCCAGAAGGTATTGCTGATGAAATTGTACACAATCATTTCGCTTCAATTTGCAATAATTTATTGCGGTTTTCCACTTTCGAAAGATACCGCAGGTTCTTGAAAAACATTATTGATAATGATAATTAATTATTTCTTACATTTTAGCAGCATGCAAACTTTGTTGCAATAACATGCATTTTATTGCAGAATTTGCAGAAAGCACTTATGAAACAATTTTGGAAACAGTTTTCACCAATTCATCTGATCTGTTCTCGAATGAATCGTTTCCAAAATTCTCAATTGACAAGGATATGCGAAAGTAATAGCTTCTCGTTTACATTTATCAAATTACATTCATTTCATGACGTAATTAAATCAACTTTGAA